AAATCTCTGATGTATCAGACCAAGTGGTCCCAGATTTCTCCATAACCCAGGAGACAATATTGGTAAACAGAAACTCTCGCTAGCTCCAAGGAGCTAGCTTTCGTGAATAGAAGGAATGGGATACCAATCGAAAACTTCAATGTGCTGGGCACTACGGTAAGTTTTCGGATGTCGAGCACATTGGCAACCTTCTTTTCGACCAGTTTGCTTTCACTTCATCTAAGGCTCAGCTTTCTGGAGGCTTTCTGCTATCTCAGCGCAAAACAGGAGCAAGCTATTCACAGATGTGGCTGCTGTCCGCTAGCGGACATAATCACGCGGGCAGTTTGCTGACAGCGTGTTGGCTTGCTAGCAGCACGAGCACAAAGACTTTCAACCGGATCCTAGCTGCAGGCCAAGGTAGCAACTTGACTGGATGACAGTCTTCCATCAAGTTCACAAGTCAGAAGTCGTTATCAATCTCACACGGATGTTGGACAGTTGGCCTCCTCAGGTCCACCATATCATGTCTCCAACTACACAACTATTTTCACCCATGCGCCTGTGTCCAAGGGGTGGGATGGGCGAACTTGTAGCTCTGTACCGCGACCTGGCGTTCAAGAAGCTTCGGATGCAATTTTTGACGTGAACTTGCATATGACAAACACAGTGGGAAAGGCTGCACGGTGAAACCCAAACACGAGTAGCTCAGTAAGACTATATTCTGATGACAAAGTACTATACCCCAAAGAGGATAAAAATCTCACTCTATTTTGGTGGTTATAGCATCCCCAACTAAAATACTGGTCACATGGGCATTTCCTTTGACCCATGATCCAGGATCCTGTGAAGCTCTCCAACAGCTAACTGCAACAGCTGCAAAAAGCTTTTCACCAACCCAAAATTCAGGGTTTAGGGTATGGAGTTTAAGGTTGGATTCTTGACGGAATTGGTACTTTCCCCAAAATGGGGGAACCTCAATTTAGACCCCCATAATACAATAATCCTTTTTATGGGGACCTACACAAAGGTACCCCTAACTCTATGAAGCTCTCAATTAAAATCACTTGATGGGAACATCCTCTGAAGCCCAGCCCTCTCTGACCCTGACGCGAGCTTTTCCGTGGGCGGGGCTTTGGGAAGTCTTCATCTTCTCTGAGTACAAGCTTTACAATTAGAGACATTCTCAACATTGAGCTTCCTGGTTTGGGTGACGCATCAAATAATTGCTAAGCATCTCAACAATTGACCATAAAAATCAAAAAAGCACATCGAATGTTTGCGCCCAGCATCAACAAATATTTTGATAAGCATCAAGAAAAAACTGATGGCCATAAGACTCTAAATAGCCAGAAGAAAGAGAAGGGGGAATAGTAAGAGTCGTAATATGAATACAGACAAGCATAATAGTACATGCACAGCCACGAGGAAGGACCCGTGTGATTGGACAATCCTAATCTCTAAGCCTAAAATCCTGAATTGCAAGCCCAAATCGCGACTCCTCATCCCTCACAGTGAGCCTCAGCCAGTGTCGGATCGCTGGCATTCCGCTTGGTGGTTAAGAGCCCATAAGCCATCCCAACCTGGGGGACAATGAAAGGAAGCCTACTGTAGAAGCGGCAAAGGTAGAAGGGAGCATCAGGACCATGATGTTGCTAGTAGCTGTGAAGATGATAATACTGACATGCTGAGTATGATAAGAAGCAAAGATACAGCAGAAGCGAAAAACCGTGTGAGTGAGAAGAGCATATGCCCGATCTCGCGAAACAAAAATCTCTCAATGAACACTTGCCATTGGGCTGCAGTAGAGTTGCATTGTGGTACTTAGAGGCGCTGACAAAACAGTCGAACACTTCAGCTGATTGCAATGCCGCGCCACATCTGCATTGTACGCCACAACCTCAGAATTTGCCGGAATTTCGGACGGAATTTCGGACTGACATACTGTATTTCACAGTGAAGCTGGTGTGGCGGCTACAGCAGTGGATGCCAAAGCCACATGCTGTTGCTGCTTTTAGGCATGTCCATGCTATGCTCTGCAGTCAGAACAAGGCTTGACAGCTTATCTGCTGAGCATCAAAGTTCTGCAGACCGTAACACATCTCCCGCTTGACCTCGAGCATTCCTGGGATTGCCATGGATCGCTATCGTGGAGATTGCGTGCATGGTGTGCTTCTATCCCAATGATTTCTTTTCATCGATTCTGAAGGGGATGCTTCCAGGGCGACTGAGCCGGGCGAGAACTTTGTCGGGGAAAGGGAACACGGGCTTTGCAAAAATGAAGTCTAAAGCATGCATGAAATTGCTGTGCTCAGATCAAACTGACGTTAACACGTAACGTAGGCGTACAATTTATGTGTATATATATAGCTACGTATATATATATACATATATACATATGCATATGTCTCACATTTATATCAGGGCTGCCTACGATACAGCACTCGCACCATGAATGCCAACGATATTTCTGACATTCCCAATTCCGAAGGGCACAAACCCGGCTTTGCATCTAACTCACCCCAGCGGCGCATGCTCAGCGGATATACCAGCACCAGGTAGGGTATCGCCAGCATCGAGAGTAAAGCTACGAGGTTGAAAGCCTCGTTGTTGGTCTCAAGTGTGCAAGTACACTTTCGGGAGACATGCAGGTACCTCTGTGTACACAAAGCTCAGGGGATGCATACGTGAGACGTGCTATCTGCTATCAAAATTTTGCTAGTGAGACCCTCATCTGCCACTACTGTAGGGGCCTACTACCCTTTTATTGGATCAAAAATGCGCAAACAGCCCGGTGACGGAGAATATTGCCAATTAATTCGGACTTCTACATCGTGTTTCAGTGGGGCGAAGGGAAGCATCCTGCTCCACATCCAGGGCCTCAAACTGAGCCATAAATCCGCAAACTGCGAAGCCCGAACCCTTACAGATTTCACAGCTGGGAACTTAAGCTGTGCTGCTCTGGGGAATTCTAGGGGTCCCAATGTAACGAATTCCCATTTTTGGGTGTCAGCTTTGGGTCCCCTAACCCGTGGACATCACATGCAAACGTATCCATCCGTGTATATATACATATATACACACATATGCCTGCATGCATGTGTATGTGTTTCCATGCCATGGAGCTGACTCCCACTGACTTTTCTTTCGCGAGTAGCTCAGCTGAATTGGTTGCAGCCTTGGCAGGCGGTCTTTTCACTCTTGAGCAGGGTTCAATGTGACTTAGCTGTATGGCGTTGCATAGGGATTTACTTGATTTGATTTGAGAATCGCGCCATTCTGAGGGCTCCACGAGCACCTTTGAGAATTGTTGTCTCTTACTCAACTCTTGCAAGCGCTCCCCAGTTTAACCCCAGATTTGAGGCTGTCTACATGCAGGCACAGTGTTACACGCTTCGGACAATCTTAACTGCAGCTATTCCGTAAGGTCTAGATAGGTCCTGCTTGAGATGCCAGGTTCCCAATCCCACGCTCCTCCCTAGAGGTGTGTCATCCGAACCTGCTTTGAGCTGTTAATTACGAGTAAGATGATCAAGCCAATGCAGTCCAGCCGCTTCTGAATCGCGAGCTGAATCTTGGTCGGCACCATGGCCTGCAACACCCAAACGACAGAAAGCTTGGATCGAAGCAGGCATTCTCCCCTCAGTCTTGGCACTGTTGACGAATACGGGAGTAGCATTGAACACATTCACAGCGGCCATTGAAGTACCGGGACTACTTGAAAATGTCCAATACTGCGAGCTGCCAGGAGCATGCCCGACGAAAAGGCATGGTGCCTCGAACAAGAACTCGTCGATGTCCAAGATGCCATTGAGAGCAACAGCATTCAGGATCAGGTCGACCTGAGCCGTGATCTGCTAGGTACAGGACGATCCTTTGGAGCTTCGCTGGTTTATGGGTTTGGCGGTCGTGCTTTGTGAAGCCAGGGTGCGATGGAGGTCGTGCGACCCAACCACTGCCTTAGTAACGGGGGCAAGGGCTTACTATTAGGTGGTATGGGCTTGGGACATGTAGGCTTTACTGATCAAAACAAATCAAATAGCAGGGTCGATCTATCAGGTTGTGTGATTACCCAATTGCCGTTCTATTTACCTGTCATTCTTTCTAGGTATCTATCTTGATATATCTGTCCGTGTGGTGTCCATTCGTTCTGCTGGCCTGTGCTCCTGCAAAAGATGATTTCGGCTGAGCCTGGTCAAAGTTTCTGAGACGTTCGTCTACGTTTGCGTCTACCTTCCCATCAGCCATGACCTTCAACGACCGGAAGCCTCAGTCAACTAGTGAACTAGTGCCAGCCCAGCGGCGTACCGCCCACCAGCAGCGACAAAGCGAGTGCAGCGCGGACTATATAGGCCCCGATGATGATTCCAAAGCTGGCGGACCAAACTCACTTGTAAACATACAGGCTCACATGTGCTGGGAGATGGTCTTGGAACCAAATCGCGTGAGACAAGAGGCACTTGCCTTCAAGGTCCCTGTGATGCATTTGCACATTGGATTGGTCTTTGGTTCAATGCGGCAGGTGACATGCAATGTATCAAAGCGTCTAGGCATGAAGGCTCACTCTTAAGTGCAAGCTGCACGACAAAGAGTACAACAAAGAGTACTGGTTTTAATGATCATTGCCATATATTCTCATGGTACCGGGGTACCGGCGCCTAGGACACCTGCTTGGAAGCCTTGCTCAGCGGCTTGCTGCCCAGCGGCCGTGTGTAAGCCAAGCTTTTCAAGCTGCCCTGGTGCAACTCTGACGATTTTCCCCGAGGGATGTGCATCAACGCCTGCCGATTCGTGAGAGCTGGGTTTGTCCGCGTAGTGCATTACGAGAACAACTTGAGCCTAAGTAGATTACGTGCAGAACGAAGCAACCCACCGCATGCCCTCCCAAGAACAGAAGCCAGCACACTCATTTTGCTGCGGTCCATTTTGGGAGCTGTAGTTAGCAAGCCTGCAGGTTGTTCCAAATGTTCCGCAGCTCGCGGAACACGCAAAGGTTCCTTGGAGAAAGCAGAGGAGTTGAGAGCATGTTGACTCAAATTGTCCCCACAAGCTGTGGCGTACTTTGGCTGTTGCCACAGAGGCTCCAAAGGATGATGCACAGCATGCAGAGTGTGACACCTGTCAATGTTTTGGATCGAGAATTTGTAGCTTGGTGGGGGCGGCGCTTCTTCCCAGGCTCAGCTACTTGGCACAGAGATCCACTCAACAAATGCGGTAGGAAGAAGAACTTTGTCATCGAGCAGATCCAAAAAAAAGAAGAGAAGACCCTGGCGTTAACGCAATCATTGCAGGGACACTCGACACCCGGCCTGGTTGCTCGAAGGTTGCATCGAAAGCTTCCTTCTGGAGACCAAGGAACCTCGACAGTGCTTTCCAGGGTTTTAGGATTTCGGCGCCGACTTTGTGCTGGGGCCGCGTCGTCCTTTTATCAAGGCACTTGCGCAACGACCATTGCTCGTTCAAGCGACGCTCCATTAAACTCAGGCCCCACGGATTTTCGGCCCAAATACCAAATCGAACTCTTAGGCTCCCAATTGACTTGATTCTCCTTTTATGCTGCTGCTGATGGTTTCTCGCTCTGGCAATTGAAGGGCCCTGAATGCCCATGAACTGCACAGCGCCAAGCCAGACCGCAAACTCTTTCCGCACGCCAATTTTGCCTGTTGTCAACATAACCTTGATCCCTCATAACAGCCAGCTCCGAAAACAGACGGATTTTCTGCCACCTTCCACTACTCCGAATTGGCCGAGAAGAGCACCTCAAAACCAGCAATTAATCACTTGAGGCGAGGGTCTTGTTGATATCGCCAAGCAATTTTGCCTGCCACTTGGAACATTCTTGCAATCAGAATTCTTGCAATCAGAAACTACCAGCATCTGTTTTCTTACATTCTTGTCGCTGCCATGAATGCTGCAAGGAGCAGACCAACTATTACTGTTATCAATGATGCCTATCGACCTCCTCCGAAAACACCTACAAGCAGAAGGCGAGCAAAAGCTGTCATCACTGCCTTGCTTTCACTCTGCCCGCATCACTTGCTATGTTGTTGAGGTGCCTGGTGTAATATCTTCTTCCGCTGGCACTGAGACACCTTACCTTAAAGCGCTCTCGTGCTCATGCAAGCGGGACATTCGTAATGCAGCGTGCTACTGTCATAGGAACAATAATGATGGCAAGAAACAATCCTTACCCTCTCAAAATGACACTGTGGATCACTGACAATGCAATCCATGTATCTTGCCTGCGTGTTGGCGACCAGTAGGGACGAGTCTTCCGCACAAACGCGGCTCACAAGACTTGACCCCGAAAGGTCCATGTACCTTTGAAGACAAGCAACTAAGGTTTGTCGCGCATGCCTTGCTGGCTACAGCATGTAGTTTGGCAAAGCACCAGATGTAATTAATTGGGTATGAAATCTCATGTCGACCAGAAAAAAGGCCGAACATGTTTGGCAGCAGTAGGAGCGAGTCCGCATTTGGATGCTGCCTGTAGCTTCACTGGAAGGTTAGGGTGCTTGCCATGTTCGAACGCATGTACCGCATATGTGGGAAAATTTCGAGGACATCTAGCATCATAGATTTGACTTGATGGCCACGCAAGCTGCTCAAACACCCAAAGCTAGGATGCTGCCAATGGCATGCAATGGTAGGGTCATTGCGGATATGATATACCCATTTTTCATACATGGGTAGAGACGTGCATTTCGGAGCCATTCTCGCTGGAGAACAGAAACAAATATCCGGCTAGTGTCAAGTAGAAAACTAACCCCTGAAAGCTTGTCTCGTTGACTGGGCAGGGTTGGAAGGATGTAGAGTTGGGAAGGGTTGGGATCAGCAAGAATTCAGACACCGCTTTGCTCACGATCCGGTGATCTGCTTATCAGTTTAACGGTTCTCCCACAACGTTGTAGCGGGGGCGGGTATTGTGCCACGGGCCTGGGTCAGTTTCCAATTCCGAAGCAGTGATTGACGCTTGCGGACCGAGTTGCCTATAGGAGTGAGCCAAGCTGGTGCGCCAAACTCTCGTGTGCTGCACGTGGGCCTTGCAGTTAGAAACCCCTCAAAGCGTCTTGCGGCGAGCAATGATATAAGACTCAGTCACGACTGCGACCATGCTAATCAGAAGCATCCTTGATTATCGTCCTTCCCATCAAAACAAACACTCTCACAATGAGGTTCCCGATGGTTGCCTTTACCAGCGGACAAGAAGATGTGAACAAATCTGGGCGCCCCCCTACCTCAACTTCCCTGCCGCGACTTCAAAACTAGCACGGGCTAAGAGCTCCCGCGATCCTCAAAGGGGTCACCCAGGAAGCTCTTGTTGAACAGAATCTGGATAAACCTGTGTCACTTGCTGGATGGTGCTGCATGCAGCAGAGATTCCCGAGAAGATTTTGTGAGTTACGTGCTTTCGAGACAGGAGGCCCCACCAAAACATGAGGACCTTTGCAAGTCTTTCCAGAAAGCAAATTCATGACTGCACCCAACATCCGTCCCGTTGAGCATCAGCTACGGAATGCCAAGCGGCGCTGACTGCATGGCGATGTTCCTGGGCCGGTCCCAGGCTGTGTAAGCTCGAAAGAGTCATGCTCACGGAGACATAGCCCGTCAGTTGCATCCCCTATATCTACCTTGAAGAATAACTCTAAGGTTTGATAATTTCGGTTGCACGAACACAAGGACACCTGAACACGTCTGTTGCAAGTCCTTAAGCGGGGCGGTCCGAGGGGTCACCTGATGATCCCCAATACTTCGTATTCTTCCTCAGTACCCCTCAAGTCTAGGACCTCCCCATGAGCCACCCCCTAGCAGGACCTCAGAATGTCTTAGTCTAGGTCTCTTCTCAGCTCCCTGCTCGTGCAACCAGGTCTCGCAAATAGGATCAGCGCAGAAAACGCAACATCCAGAACGCCGGCATCAGTCAGACCGAGAACGGCAAGCAGAGTCCTCAGACAGGAAGCGCAAACCAGACGTGCTCCTCAACAAATCCTCTGAACCTTGTGGGAGGAAGCTGCCCCGAAACTCCTGAGATACACGTGGCACATCGCTGCACTGGAGACTTGGCACAAGCAATGACATTGCATGAGCAGAACTTGCTGGAAGGTTTTTGGGATGGGCTTGAGGTTCATAGCTGCTCCAACATGTCTGAAGCCACCAAGTTGGGTAAAGGGTTTAGTGCCCCGTAGTTTGCCTGCAAACAGCTGCTGAAAAGCCTCTGGGAACCACATGGAATCACTCATTCTGCCAACACTCGTGGGGATCTCCTTGGCCCTTGGGCCATGATATAGATGACAGGCCTGCTGACAAAAAAGGGGTAACTACTCGCCATTTCCGCTAGACTCTGAAGCAACCCCTGCATCCGAGCCAAAACTCCATGCGCTCTCGGCCAGCTGAACTGGCTTCTGTTCGACGCCCTGCTCAGCGAAGCTTGAGGCGCTGATGCTCCAATGCTGGAACCAAGGTCAGGTTTGCAACGCGTGTATTCCGGCTCACTGGACATTTGTCTGCCACCTTCCCAATTTATCACTTTGTCAGATATCCAGCGCGTCTTGTAGAGCATTCGAGGGAAGCTGTATGATGGGTGGCCACAGGTCACTGAGCTTCACCGTTGGAAGAAACGATCGTTGACAAATGCAAAGATAGCAACCGTCAGTCATAAGCTTCATCTTTTTGTGGCTTGGCTTTGAACACTTGCCTGCCTGGCCAACACGCCTAATCCCTGGAAGATTCTGGATGCCAAAGGCCAGCCTCATCCTGTGACAGTTCAGCTGGTGCGTCAGGCGGCTCCACGACAACAGTGCTCACAGCATTGCCCTGCCTCAGTGCACAAAGACAATTGTCTGGTTGAGCTTCAGATACTTCGACCCATCTGGTTTACCCTGGACGAAGCTGCAAAGGTAAGAATCTCAGGTTCCTGTGCCATGTGCTGATTGAATGGGTCAAGTGCTTTGGTCTTGCAATTCTGAGGCAATGGCTTATCAGGCTCAAGGCGTGCCTCCAGAGCTGCCAGCCGGGAAGTGAGGCGGTGAATCTCAGTTCTGAGCTCCTGGCAGGCAGGCCTTCATCCCCAGTCCCAGTGTCAGATAACCCAATACAACCCACAATATATATTAAAATATAATAGTTTCCATTTGATTTTCCACTATACTCCCTATATGAATTGTATAATATAATAGCTTCCATTTTCTTTTCCATTATCCCTATATAGACCCAATATACTATACCCGATTTGAGTCTTGATGTTTAGCATGCCCAATATACCCTAATATATTCCCAAGTTTCCATTTCATTTTCCATTTGATTCTCCATTATCCCTATATAACCCCTATATAACCCTAGTATTACCCCTATATGCCCCTAGTATTACCCCCAGTTGAATCTTGATGTTCCCGAATAGACCATTATAGCAGTTGTTCACTTTATTTTCCATTATCCCAATATAACCCTAATATACTATAGGTGTTTCCATGCCCGTTGGAAGTCGCCTCCATCTCACTGGCTACCTCTGGGGAGTTTATCATAGCCAGGTCTTCGGATTTCCGAAGCCGGCATTCTAAACACAAGCTCGAGCCACAGCTGAGAGACGACATTCATGTGTTGTTCTTGGACCCACAGTCATAGTCATGCAGACTTCGTATGATTCCGGTGGCTTGTTTTGCAATTAATTTAGCCTAGGCCAAGAAAACAATGCGAGCTCGTTAGGAATAGGTATTGGGCCCTAGCTTAGCAAGAAAACATGAGCTCTCGTTCCTGATGCATACAGGGTCTAACAACTTCCCTGGGCAAGGCTGGTTCTGGATGTCAAAATACTGCGCTTGCAGTCCCGACGCTTTGGAAAACATCCCCTATCTCAATACATGGAAAATCAACCTTCTTCCCACAACGTATCTAAGCAAGAAGCAGTCTGTTGCAGCATTCTGACATGTTCCTTCCTGCGTGAACAAACAACTAGTGTTGAACACATTCCAGTGATGGATTTTTGCTGAACGTGCGACCCCGCTCACACCCTCGTGAGGGCGTGGCTGGCAGAACGTCATGCTCACAGAGTCATAAACAGTATCTGTTGGCATTGTTTCTCTGGCTTGGAGCATGCTGGTCGAGCTCCCAGTGCAGGAAGAACATGGCAGTTGGTGATAAGAGGGCTCAATAAGGTACTGAAGCTTTCTCGGTTCAGGTAAGGGACCGACTTCCTGTCAGACTGGCTCGCAACGTGAAACTGTAGTCATCGGTCTGCAATGCGATGAATTGCAGGATTACAGCAGGGTTTGACCCTGACTTCTTGCATGCAGGCATTATCTGACGGTGCGGCTGGGCCTTGTCTGGAGTTCTGGGTTGACAGTTGAAAGACAAGGCCCGGCTGCCCCAAATGTACAGAACCCCTAAACTACCATACTTTACACGAATGACAAATGGCAGTCAAACAGAACGAGGGTCTATTTCGCTGAAGGTCTTGCAACCAGCCTAGTCTGGTGCCTCTTATGTATATCTCAACTTACCACGACAAGGACCATGGAATTTTATGCAATCTCTTGCTGTGAAAGACAGGTCGGCGAATGGCTTCTAAGATCACTTCACTTTCGGGAAGATCTTTTCCACCTGGTCAGCACATCCTACCATCTTACTGCATCCTGTCGCTGATCTTCCACATATGAGAGGCCCCGAGAGGCTTAACAGATATGGCTGACAGACTGAAGGGCACAAAACATGCAATACGTCTGACGAGTTTTTTGTAATGGAAGCGTCGCCGCTGCAGCGATTGACATTTTGAAGTTTGCAATGGAGCCCCGTGAATTTCATCAACAGGACAGGCAACGGAACCCAACTGGCAGGGGAGTGAATCTCATCTTTTCCTGCATCCTGTGCGGTACTTCTCCAGACTCCCCAAAGTCAGAACTAATTGCCACATTCATGCGGCAAAGGTTCACCTACACCCGTGCCTGTTTCATCGGGTGGCCAGGAAAGTTCAGCCCAACGCTTCATGCACTTTGCTTCAGTGAGCTCTATGAATCCCTTCTCCCCACATACCTGGGAGAGCAGCTCAGGTCAGGTCACCACAGATTCTCGGACACACGGATAGGCAACTTGCATAGACTTGTGACATATCATCTCTGCACCCCAACCACAGGCTTGCTGCTGCCGTGCCTGAGTTGAAGCTCTTGCCTACTACGACATCGCACAGGATGGGATTTATCAGGAACTTAATAATCTGAGATGGAGTCTCGAAGCAGCTATGGATCTGATGTTTCTGCTTGAAGGCTTTTTTTGGCAGCAGCTTCCCGCTTTGCACACTGCACATAGGACCAGTTAGTCTACACGTCTGCAGATCCTCCAAAATCATTGAAATGCAACATACGGGTGGTGTCGCCGGTCCCTTGTGCTGGCCTCGCAAATGGGGCCAAGCGAATTCCACACAGCCAGAGGTTGCCCGGTCCGGAGAACTAAACATCACCGTAGAGGTATTCAGTGCATCACGCAAAGACCTGAGATTTTAAAGTACCGTACCTATTAGTGCCCCAGAACCGGAGTTGCTCTTGGAAGGCCGTCAACTGCAGTTCCCAGCGCCTCACCGTACTGTGAAAAGACGCATGCTTCTTCTGGGAAGCCTCGAATAAGAAACCTTGCGCTTGTTGTGCACACGAGCGTGAGAAGCTTTCTAATCTTACTGCAGGGAGGCATGCGACATGACATCAGGTCCCGTTGTCAAAGCTCGCCTATGAATAGAATCTGTTGATGAACGTCTTTTGACACTTCGTCTATCTGTAGATTCACCTGAAGGTAAGCAGAATGCGTGACGCCGCCATGCTTCTCCTGGAGTTCGTCGAAGCTGGATGCTTTCACAACTTGTCGTGCCACGTGTCTACAATAAGCCCGTCACGAGGGTTCCCCGTGCCGCAACGTGATAGCATGGGATCTGCATGCATGATGCTGATGCAGCAGATTAGCAGCCGTGCGTTGCCGGCCGTATCCCAGGCAAAGGGCCAGTGGCGTGTTGAGGGCTCCAATGCATTTTGCAGTGCTACAGTGCGCTTTTGGTGAATAAGGCCATCCAGTGCTAGTGCCATGCCCTTAGCTGCTGCTTGTTTTACTTGTGAAATGCGTTGTCCCCACAACACACGCCCCTCACATCAACTCCATGTCGCCCCCAATCTCCCCATGAGGGCACAGGAGACCATCTCAAGCCATGTCGCCACGGCATACCTCTCTCTGCAGGGCATGTGAACTCAGCTTTCAGAGGTAAATCACGATCTCTAAGAGACGTAAATGCTCAATGGCAATATTGAAGAACACTACATCAAGAGCAGCAGCAGCAGAAGATAGCAGCGGCGGTGGCGGTGGCAGCGGCGAGCAGATAGCAGCAGTAGCAGCAGATAGCAGCAGCAGTGGTGGCTGCGGCGGCAGCAGTAGCAACAACAAAACTGCTTCTGCTACTACTGCTGTCGTACAACACCTGTGATATGGATACCGAGAACAACCTGCATTCTAAAGCGTAGTCTGTGGACAAGCTCGCAGCATAAGCAAGGCGGGAGAGGCGCCCTGCTTCAGCGTCGCGCTCGCACCGCAGAGCGAGGCGCAGCTGTGTGACTGCGGAACGGAAGCAAGGCCTCAAGACAAGAAAGATCCAAATTCCTTCAGAATCATTGAGGCTTTGTGAATGCTGCAGCTGAGGTCTGTGCTGAGCGGCCTGATGCCTGCGTAAAAAGATGCCAGATGATTTGAGGAGTGGGGCTTAGGGCGTCAAACGCTTCCCGAGAATTTAAGAAATTAGAACTTAAGCGGGACACGCCACCCTGTCAAAATCTCTGCGATGCTCACCAGCAAAGCCCTGAATGCACCTGGCTTGCTGGGAGCGTCGGAGTAGGCATTGGCCGTGAGGGAAGTGGAGCCGGGGCCTGGGAAGCTTGAGAAGATCTGTACGACTTCTTGAAAGGGTGAGATTTGTGCGGCCCCTGGAAGAATATATTTGTTTGGAGTTGGATTGGGGTACCCTGATTTTGTTGGACTCTTGATCATTCAAGCATGATGATGGGCTGAGAATCATGGCTATCCTCGTACGAAAAGCATATATTGCAACAACAAGTCACTGTGATATTCAAGAACAATCATGAAATAATCTTAGATGACAATTATGTCGATGGCTGCTCATTGCCTGAACTCTAGCTGGCCTCCAGACAAATGCAAAAATGTTATCAAGGCTTGTAGCTATGTTGCCATGATGCCAAAGTACTCTCATAGCATGTGCTATGAAATCTCGTTCAACATTAATCCAGCATAAACTTACTGCGGGGACTGTATCACATCAAGACATATTGCACATGAATACCAAATTACAACTGCAGAAATCAAATCACAAGCGCAGAAAGGTCTTCCCAGTTTACTCTCCTTGTTTAATACTTTTCGTCAACAGCTGGCAGTCTAGGAGATCATGGCCCCTCTATTCACTCGGGCAGACAGGGCACGCGTGACTGCGACGCGGCAATGGGCAAGCGTTGCGTGGGCACTGTCGCCTTGGGCATCAGCTGTTCGTTGCGCTTACGGAGGCAACCTACCTGGGATCCAGGCTGGTGCCGTCGTTCGTGCCCTGGAGGCTGTGGAGCAAGCTCGCACACCTGGGAAGCTCAGAGCAGGATTAGGAGGAACCACCGTACTCGCACAGCATCTGGGACGAAGAGTTTGCAGGGCCTGAAGACCACCAACGCCTGGATGTGTTTATCGGTGTGATGCATTTGGGTCGTACCAGGCGGTGGACATCATCCTTCACGATACTCATGTTACTTCCATTATCATCAGCATCATCTCCTGTAGCAACCAGGCAGGCATGCTGAGACAAGGTAGCACAGAGTAGACGTTCCGGCGGGTGAAAGGTGAATGTGTGACAACGTCTCATATCCGCTAACGCCCCAGGACACGAAAGCAGATGCATGGATTCCCATCCCGTTTGCCTAATGAGGTGGTGTGGTCCTGTTCTGAGGCAGAGGCGGGAGCCCAAATCGCTTGCCAGCTGCTCATCCACGAAGCGCCTGCTCGCATAGCAAAATTTTACGGAAGCATCATTTGCTCGAAAGTGCTGCTGCTAACCCAACAGGAGCCATGATGGTGTGAAATTGCTTTCCTTGAACAAGTGCAAGGCAGCAAACATCACGAAATACAATAAATGAAGTGCCAATAGCTTCGTTTGTGCTATGTCTGCAACAGTTGGACCATCTCAGACCTGCACTCCTGCAACTGGCAAGCAGCCTCACATCGGCCAAGCCCTGCACTTGTGCAACAAGATCGCGCAAGGCACCTGACAGCTGGCTCGCATACTGGCAACCCTGAAAGTTCACATATTTCACATGCACGAAGATGCTGCGGGACCTAGGCAAGAGCCACGATGACGGAAACAGAACAGAGACAGTCATACCAAGGAAAACAGCGACAATGACAGGGACCACAGCAACCGAGGCAACAACGACTACGACAACGACCTCCTCCCTCCTACCTAGAGCACACAGTACACCCCCACCACCACCACCACCACCGGCGGCGGCGGCCAGCGGCAATGAACAGTATAAAACACCAGCGACCAGAACAACAGCAAGGGAAGAAAAGGATGACGTAACTTACAGTTAAGACTTCTGTTAGCGTTGCCGTTGTTACCCTTGTTGCTGGGAAATGCTGCGGTTTGAACGTTTGGCCTCCCGGATCTGCCTCTCGGCTCTTCTCAGCGGCACGTGCCTGCGTGGCAAACGCAAACGTGACGCAGTAGGAAGGAAGGCAAGACAACCTTCCTTATGCGAAACCTCGGCAGATGCTTCAACAGCAACATACAAAACAACTATCTAAATGACCCTTTACACCGAAAACCCTACCATATGCTTGGACGAGTCCAATCTAGCTCCTTCACGTGGCCTTCCATTCCGGTAACTGCGTTTGAGTATTTACGTCAAGTAATAAGACTCAACACGACCCTGCATCATCAACCTCTTGAGACGTCTTTCAATGTGATTGCTGTCTTGATTCATGTCTATCGACTGCCTGTACTGCTCATATCGCAGGTAAAAATTTCTGCATGGTCACATCTTGTTGATTAGATGAGCATGAGTACTCTTACCTGCGCCATTGCTTTTGCTGCTGCTGAATGTATGACGATGAATGTTGTATACGCTTCTCATGCAACATATCATGAATCTTACATCATTTTCATGAGGAGTATGGGCAGGCCTTGTCCAGAGCTGGGCTCACAAAAGCATCCAGCTCCTGCTCAGGATTCTGAAGGAACGCTTCTGGCTAGCAAGGGTGTAACAGGAGGCAAGCATGTTAGATGTTCAGGCCGCTGCCTTTCCTAACAACTCTATAATGGCTGTACTTGCCATGACATAAGCTTCCTTTGGGCAGGCCCCCGCCAGGGAGAACACCTGCAAAGGCAGGGAGCCTGCCCTGACTTCAAGCCGAAGGGCCTCGTCTAAAGCAGCTCGAATCAATTGCCGCATGTTCTCAGGAGCATCACCTGCTCGTCAAACTACAACTGTCCATGTGAGCCACTCTGACACACGCCGTAACTGCTGGTCAAGTTTTGTCATCATTGTTTTAAGCTGCAAAATTCAACTGCATTTTAGAATGTTTGAGATAATTCTTGCGTGGTGCGCAGTCAGAACTGCACTCCCAAAATCGGAGGTGCTTGGTAGCCGTGCACGTGAGCTGAAACAATAACGTGCGCATTGGCAGTGAATTTTCGGATCCCACCTTGCAACAAAACGCTGTCACCCGTCTACAAGAGAAAGTGCCTTAGTACTGACCTCAATAAGACACAAAGAAGAAGCCGATGAGCTTGGCATAGCTTAGCCATTCGCCTCGGCAGCGCTTGCGCTCACTGCGCTCACGTGGCTCCGTCGCAGGTGCCTGTACCAATCAATCAATGAAGCTTCAATAATTTCAATAAGCTCGGGGGGAGGATTGGGCCACGATTACGAAACTTCTAACACCGTGCAGGCATGAATCTGTAAGGGTTGTTTCGCCGGTAAGGCTGGACATGCGGAGTTCACGCTACGGCGGCAGGAGACTCGGCGAGTCCAGACCTGAGCCCTCACTGGGTCACTCGGACCTTCCTCTTGCGCTTCGCGGGCTCAGTGGAAGGCGGGGCCATAGATGCGCCTTTGTAGAGGAGGCATTGCTGATGTCGTGAGCATGCGTGACTGTAAAATTTAGCCAAGGAAGCGGTAACAGGATGGCCTGAACATGGGCAAGCAGGAACTGCGGGAACAATTCTGAAACAAGCCTGCCCTAGCACAAGGCCTAATAAAGCAGCTTGACACAGCTTTGAACTCTGCGCTTCTCCCGCTTTGAGAAAGTCAAGCTGGTTTCCTGGGACCCCGGCTGTTGCCTCGCCCTTGGCCGCGCCTCGGTGAGCACATTAGGAATCTTACAGGCGTCGTGGGCCAACACCATCGAGATTCGGATCAAATCTGCTGGGGCTTCAGGTAACATGACAGGCTGATCATTCAAGTACCTTGCAAGCGTTGCTAGGCCCAACCGTGATCCAAGTGTTGGACTCTCTTTGAGCTTAGGCTCTGACGTGATGCGTGAAGTCCACATTGCTTCCGCAGCCACTGTCCGCCCGCTCAGCAGGCCCAGGGATGAGGAGGGACCAGCAAAGTTAGGCCAGACTTCTTGGTGATGTTATTATCACAGCATGACACATCTCTACGCAAAGACAGCTAATGCTGATACTGATCTCTTGGTAGCAGAAATTCTCTCTGCTGTCTATATCCATCCTGTTGTTACCCTAAGCTAGTCGGCCCTGCACTGAGCACAATAGGGGCGGCAGCAGATTCACGTAGGCTACCCTCAACTCGGGAACAGGGCACTGCAGTTCGACAGCCACACATTTTAGTGTGGGCTGTTTTGCGCAAACGGGGAAACCTAGCACGTAAGGGGAAGGCACTTGACTGCTGCTGGGAGCCAGTTATGCCAATGGGAAAGCTAATTCCGTCTTACCCCGTAAGACCCAACAGCCTCCGCCCGCCGATGCCTCCGGCCCAGGCTGAGGATCTTCCTTGGATTTCCAAGACTTGATGGGGCCTGCTCTGTTCAGTGGCATCTAAAGAAGGCCAGATGGATACCAGAAGTCGCCTGTACGGCTTAGTTTGGCGCTGAGAGCAAGGGACCGACTCTGCAGTCAAGCGACACCAGCTCCAGGGCTTCGGCTTTCCCCACCTCAATCCAAACTCATGTGATTGCAAAGGGTCTTTTCGGACTGGACAACGTGCAGCCTGCGCAAGACACCCGATGGCGAATTCTAAGAACTAGAATGACCAGAAGCACCAAGGGCACGAAGATAAAAACCGAACATCACAAGTTTGAGAAGCGTCAGCTCAGGCTGTCCTGGCATAACAGCAACGTCTTCTACATAGACCACAAGGATCCACAAGGTGTATTCTGAGACATCCTGCATAGTTCTCAGCTGGCCAATGAAGTGGCCCTTCAATTTCTGATTTTTGCCGCCTTAGAGTGAACAACTCCTTTGATTTGTACAGTAAGATATCCCACCTGGCAGTCGCTCTCAACCGAAGCCCCTTCGAGAGTAAACCGCAAAACCCCAACATCCTAGCGCCTGAACCCTAGTTCCAAAAATGCCCAAAATCGACTTGGCGTATGCCAGCTCCCTGCTGGGATCTGGACCAGGCCCGTCGCTCGAGCTGAGCCGCCGCACTTGTTGTCCAGCTCCTGGCAAGGGTGCTAAACATGTGGAGATTGCAAGGGGATTGCAGGTGTCCCGCGTAGCGATGATGTAGGGTGACGGTTGAGAATCTCCTAAATGTACATTGCTGACGCTGGGACGCTGGGGTTATGCCATGGATGACAGCGGGTGGAGAGACGTATTGCTATCTAAGATCAGCTGTAACTGCAGGTGTTAGCTACGGCCGCTAGGGATCAAAGAGCTCTGAGCTTGAATGATCTGAATGATAACGAGGCTGGAAGCAGTGTTTCAGGGTGTTTACAGGGGTGGAAGAAAAACTGGGGTTTCAACAGCACATCCTTCTACAAGGCCGCTTACGACTTCTACAGGCATTTTCCGACTTTTGGCCTCAAATCAGCTTGCTGTCATTTTCATGACGCTGCAATATCTTCAAGAGAGAGCAAGCAATCTATCAATGTCTGGGTGCACTGCACAAGGGTTCGGAAGTCTTATCTGCCCTGGGTTGCGTGCTTTGGACCTAGAGTGAGATGAGCATGATAGGGTAGGAGGAGGAGGAGGAGGAGGAAGGACAGCAGAAGCGACTCTGGCTGACTCATGGCAGAACTGGTGGATGGAGTATGGCGGTGGCTAAAGCTGCGACTGTGTCGAGCAGGGCACCCTTTTCCCTTAGCGAGGACTCCTCACACATTTTCTGCAGCGCCGGGAAGGCAGGTCCTCGGCAGGGAAATCATCATAATAGGATCACGGTGCCCAGAACAAACAACAGGATTCTTACCCTCATGCCTACAAAAACACCCTGGCTCCAGCATCTAACTTACTTAAAGATGAGTCAATGACAGCAATCCTTGTGGACCTGACTCTTCAAAAGTACATAATGAAAAACACATCTCTGACCGTCACCCAGTGGCGCGAGTCACCATGGCAGACCGTTGGTAGCTGCCTGGATCCGATCCTTGAGGGCAGGGGATTTGAGTGGCGCTAAGAATGGGGGGGCGTCAAGACAAGAGCGCATCTTTAAAGGATCTTTCAAGGTCCCTCATTTGCGGAAGCTGCATTGTATAACGGGTGAGCAACCTCTCCCATCACCTGCATGGAGTTTTGGGCTGGTTCTAGCAGGGTTTACGTCGCCAAGCAAGAAGACACCTTTCCGCCGCTGATGACTGCAGTGAGGAGCTGGTGAGATCTTGCGGTGATCAAAGCGCAGTTAACCAAAGCTACAGTAGATTCTAGATTTTCACACGTCGGCCAAGCTCCCTGCGACAAGAGGGCGGCATGGGCGGCTTCCACGGGGATGCCGTTCGAAGCTGCACAGAGCGTGAACAAGCAGTGCTGCTACATGCTGATGGACACTGCCAAAAAATCAGAAAACCAAACTGAACCACAAGGCAATTTCAAGCAACATTGCCCTCTTAGCAACATCGAGCGTAACGTACGGCCGTTGACATTCTGGCACAAAGTCGGGCATGCATGACAGTACAACAAAACTGCAGAATGTCACCCTGGCGGATGCAACAGCGTAGCCTGCGCCGCTTGGTGCCAGCACTGTGAAAGCGCGTGCCTGCACAACTGTCCGACAGATGGGAATTCAAGAGAGGGTCGGGCAGCATCTGGAATTCACTCTCCCACTCTAATTGCATCCCGCACTTCACTATTCTGCAGTCTCTGCGAACAACATATTGCCTCCCATGCTTCAAGCCCAGTTGAGCTGAGTACAGTTCAACCGGGCGGTGAGCCAAGCATGGTCATGCAAATTCATTTCAGCCATGAAAACCAAACCATCTTCGTGGCTGTACGTGACATGTTCATTCTTTGGACAAGGCTTTATGCTACTCTGAGCGTGATGGCCATGTAGCCTTGAACCCATTTCCCGCGCCAGGTCTGCGTGATCTGCCAGTCTCTCGTTCCCGGACCAAGGCTGCTTGGGAGCTCTTATCAGGTTCGTTCCCTGTCTAGAGGACTCTCGAACCAACAACAACATAGTTTGCTTGTTGTGCAGGGAATCGCATGCAGTTTTCAGTTTTCCAGCCGTGAAGGCCAAGGATGTGAGCTCAAGACGTCCTTCATGACCTGGCAGGCAAAACTCTCTCAGGCCCAGGCAATTCCCTCTTCGGTGGTCGGTCCCTGGCAGAAGTAAGCCATCAGCTGCCTGCCACCATCGCGAGAGAACCATGTGAGATCTGGGATCCCTCAAGTGCTGTGTCAAGGTACATCCAGAATAGGTATAAGTGGAGGGAATACTTGCGACTAACAGAAGGAATTCTACCATTTCAGGAGTATTTTGCGTGAGCATTTACGTGAGCCACCCACAGCAAGCCTCACAGAGATGTAGTCAATGTTGGGCGGCTCCGGGGCATTCACCGGTTCCTGAGCGAAAAAGACGCTGAGCTGCTTGGCTGTCTTGTGGTGCTCAGCTGTTGAGCAGCAGCAGCAGCAGCAGCAGCAGCAGCAGCTGCAAGCAGCAGCAGCCTGGGCATCATGATGACAATCACCTCTACCACTGCCGCCGCCGCCACCAGCACCATCCTACAACCAGAAGGAGTTCCGGCACCGAGGCTGCCCCCGCCGCCCCTGTCGATGGCCCTCGCCGAAGCCACTGCCGCCGCTACCACCGAAAGCCCGGGACCAGGACCACCACATCTACATCCACATCCGCAACACCACGCCCACATTGTTTGAATGAACACCTTAGATGACAAGAGTCTTCCGGGCGAGGCTTCTCCGGTCTGCCAGAGGACCAGGTGCTTTGCCCACCTTCAGGAAATCTCAAATCGATGGGTTCCTGCTTTCTGGAGGTCGCTATCCTTGAAACAGGTAGTGTGCTGGCACGTGGTTGCGAATTGATGTGACGGCGTCTGCTGTGACAGCTGCAGAACACAGAAAGATTATACATGTTGTGCTGGCTTCAAGTTCCCTGAGATAATTAAAAAACCCATCTCATTCTTGTATGTAGCTTTTTTGTTTGAACTTCAGTTGGGTGGCGCAAACTTCATATCCAAGATCTGTCTGACTCTGCCGCCCAGGAACTGTTGATGATCCAACTAAGAGAAACGACTTTGTCAGCTGGAGGCACTGAAAGGTGGGTTGAACAAATCATGTGGATGCAACCGACCACCTTTCGAGCTCCACAGGAAAAACGACAAACAGCCTATTGGAACCGTACGTGCCTGTGGAGACCGCATCATCCGGATCCGCCGACACAGTCTTGGAGCCAGGGGTTGGCGCTTAGGGGAAGGATTTCAGTTTGGTTGTGTTCCGGCTCGGCTGCTCTTCTTTTCTATTTTGTTGAGAATTTCGTTGCAAATGGTCCTTCTTGATCTGCGTGTGGACTTGAGTTTCGCTGCCTTCTCGACTACTAGGATCTACGTCCGGCTTGTTTTGCGGCTTTGAAACATTAGCACACGAAGCTGATCTTGGGAAACAAGTCAAGCCGAGCAGCATCCTCGTGGCCAAGCAGCGCAGGCATCGAGTCGACTGGCATCAGGCGAGACATTCCACTGAAAAACTTCACTAATCATGTGATGCTCCGTGCAGCCAGGGCAGGGCCATAGCAGACTGCGACATATCATGCTGAGATTTCCACATGTGAAGTGGCAACTGCGGTGGGTCTTCAGGCACAAAATGACCTTGAAGCAGGCAGACATAACCAACAAGACCGTTTTACCCGAGAAGCTTTCGAGATAAAACGATACTGTGGGCCTAAGCTTTGAGGATCTTTGAGGCAGTGCATGACGGGATAAGAACGGCTCGCCACACCCTGCGCCTTGTTGTCGAGGTGTGTCAGACGGCGTTGTTCGCATGTCATCAAGCCTCTGCCATGGGCCCTTCAACGGCGCAGAAGGCTGAAATTAGTTGAATCGCAGCAGTAATTCGTCATGTGGGCACTCAGTCATTTCTCCATTGTCAGTACCAGTCATAGCTTCCAGGCTGCATGCGAAGCCGGTCACTGCAGTGTTCCTGTACATAGACCGTTGAGCAAGCATATTTTGATCGCAGTGCTGCCCAGGCTTGTACTCATGTGCGGCTTCCGCACGAAAGCAACGCATCCCAATACATCACGCTTTAATCGGCTATCACACTGAACATCGAATCCAACCTCTAGAAAGAAAGCTGCTTAAGCTACCTGGCTCCTCAAACATCCTCAAACTCAGACCCAAAGACGCCGTATTAGCTCATCAAATCCTGACGGCCGCGCAATCCCCACTTCATTCTTGACTGATGAACATCCAGAAATAAGCAGGCTGACAATCAAAGAGTTACCCTCGAGGAAAAAAACGGCCCTCTAGTCGATGAAGCTGCTAGTTCTCTACTCAGGGCGCAGCATCTCGACGAGTCTCTCAGACTCCTCAACCTTACGCACCTCGGTCCACTTGAAGTCAAGTTTCCTTCACCTGCTTGACTACCTTCGATACTTATGCTTCAGGAGGATGCCCTCTGCTATTGGGCTGCCCTTGAAGAGACTCGAAAATCTGCTGCGAGGAACCCCAGATTTTGACCCACCACAAAATTGGCTTGAATGCTTTCAGTTTGATGCAGCTTTACTGAGGCTTCGCAGGGGACGCAGGACGCCGCCTGCAACATAGACATGGCTTTGCACTCTGGTGCATTTCGCGTTGAAGAGTGTTAGCAGCCTGTTGCAGCCCTGGAAAACAGCAAAATGGGGCTGCGCATGCTGGCACTTCAGCTTCCAGCCTCGCAGGAAGCAATACAACTGCCTTCTCATTTGCAGCATGATTAAATCAAAGGATCAAAAAGCGTTTCCTAAGCTTCCGAATGATACCTCATCGCCGACAGAACCAATTCAGGAAAGTCGCGCGGTAGTCATACCACGAAACTTCCAGCGACCATGCCTGCAAGAGCTCCGTCAATACAAGTGCCAAGTCACAGTTCGTCCCACCGCCTGGGAGGACTTGCTTGTACGTAAACTATTACATTAATTAAAGCATACCGAAAAGGGTGCTTGATTTGTATCCACACCCTGGAAGTGTGAAGGCGCCACAGGTAACTGGGGCAAGGCCACCTGGTTTTGGCCTCAGTAATTGCCTTCTCCAACCAGGGATGCTCCTAAGATCAGGACTGGACGCCGGACCATGCAGAAATACCCTTCACGCCTCCCGCTCAAATGATGGAGCACGGAAGCGCTTCAGCACTTCACTCACCTCAGGAATGATCTGAGAGTTCTCTTGTTGGTACAAGTAATTGTCTGCTTCGGTTGTGCTTGATGGCCACTTGGAGGCTGTTCAACAACTGAAAAATGAATGTCCTTGTCAAAGCGGAGATCATCTGCAAAACCCGGTCGGTGCCCAGCAGCAAACGCCCGATGCCTCCTTTCTTGCGCCCTTGCACCCTTGTGCCCAACCCCGGCGTTTTCCATACGAAGTGCGCTCCTATTTGTTTTTTCTCATTCCCTTGCACTGTCTTCCCACGCCCCCGACCTTTCCGGCGTTCTGCCTCAAAGCATGGCGCTCGCGTCGGTCGCATTGTTCATTTTTTGTTTGATTTTCTTGCAGTGACGTTTTCTCCTCCAAATGGCAAGGAATCAAGAGCCAACTGCCTCCGAGAGCCTTGCAACAGTAAGGCGAACACGCAAAAAACGCGTTGCGCAACTGAATAATGAAATGAACAACAGCAGCTTGAAAGAGCTCGCACAAAATAATAGGATTGCAGTAGCATATCAAGATACCTTCTTATAACATGGCTATACATAAGTACTCTATATCGCTGTGCTGATCCTAGATGGCAATGACCTTTCCTTTGTTGTTGAGATTCCTTCTTGATGAGCACACTTCATACCGACAGCGGAGCCCTGCCTTGCTTCTGGTTAAAGAAGCCATTGGGACCATTTACGAGCAGCACGACTGCAGTCGCTATCAGAAGAATAATCATATCGGCGCCATTCTGCTGGTGCTGTTGCTGCTGCTGCTGGTTGCGGTGGCAGGGGTGGTGATCCAGCAACTTCACCCCACGTCTTGCCAAGAGTGCAGACAAGTGGCAGCCACTATTTAAGTATTCAATGCATTCGCTGGGATCCTTCTTTATCAAAACTGCACTTCAGCTTGCTTGGCCTTGCTAGGCCCCAGGCAAACTTTAGCTGCGCCTTGGACCGATCAAACCTGCTGGAGTTGAGGTCCAAGTCAGAGCTTGAGTTCTTCAGGGATCCATGGAACCAAAGCAATGGAATTGAAGACCTGGACCTTCGAACTGGGATCATCGGACTTCCATCTGGCACTTCATGCAGTAGACACTAGCATTACTGAGCAGCATTAACCATCCCCCCCCCCCCAGCTCACACACTGCGTTGCCTGGCGTGCTGGTGTGTCATGATCATTCTGTGACTGTGCATCATGGTTGTTCATGATGCTGTTGACGAGGCAACGATGAGGAGAATGATGAGGAGGAACAATACTGTGTTGATGTTGCTATAGCCGATGGCTTTGTTTGCTGTTAATTGCTACTGCTGCTGCTGCTGATGATGATGATGATGATGATGACGATGACGATGACGATTGAGAATCCGCTTCAGGTGTGCCAGACA